CAAGTAGCCATGGATATGTAGGAGACTGTTCCTGAAGTCTTTGTAAAGATTCAGAAGCTGTTATGTGACTCAAGTCATGTCTGACGTATGACAATTCTAAGGCAAACCTATCATGGATTTATTCAGAACTTTGCTATTGCCTTCTTTAGAGGCTGAGAGAAAGTGATTTTCCTAGGTTCGCCAACTTGTGGTAGTGAGTATCCGCAATTAGTGACCTCTCAGTTTTTACTCTACATGAAAGCTGTGGACGCTTGGTCTAGGAGGCTTAGACATGTTAGGGTGTGTCTACACTGGGCCCAAACCCTGAGTTGAATAGAAGTTGAACCTAGAAATCCAGATGATGTCTAGGGACTTCTGGTCTGTGATGCAGAGGAAAAGCAGTTTACCCTATTTTGACCAAAGTGCTAACGAAACTCTGGAGCTGTGCTTCAGGGTTAGTGTGCACAGGTGGATCAGCTCTAAACTGAATCAGCCCGCTATCCACACTGGCCTTTTCATTGTGCTTGGTGGTGCAGAGAGAAGAGGTTGGATTAGGTCCATGTCATCTCTTGTCACTTCAGCAGATGGTCACAGATCTCCAGAGAACTCTTAGCCATCAGCAGGCACATTTCCTGGTATTCTGGGCCCTGTGGTTTATCAGCGGTGATAAAGGGCATCCAAGGTAAGGTGATGGTCCAGTGGAGCTGAACTAGTTTCAGCCCAACTAGGTGACTTGGATTCTGCCTTATCATTGATGTGGGATAGAAATGGGCCTTGGATTAAATGGCACATGTAGGTGTTCACTTAGGGAAGGACCATTTTTCATTGTGTGCTGGAACCAGAGAATTAAACACTAGTATATAGCAATTCTTGCATGCTTTATGGTGAGCAGCTGTCACATTTCTCCAGCCTCTGTGTTTTCCACAGTATTCTGCATGTCAATGTTTGAAGTAAAGCAGATCTTATTTTCTTATCAAAGAAGCACCTTTGTTTTAGTTTGGGGTTTTTCCTTTAAAATATAAGTTTGAGACAGCTAAATGTTGTAATCATCTTTTTGACTCTTTCATCACCTCTTGTATAATTTAATAGAAGGAAAACATGTCTACATTTTAAAATTGTACGTTTTCATTAGAAATCTAGAAATAATAGGCAGATTAACTGATTGTCTATTAATAATCTAAAACACTGACAATTAACTGAATAACGATTGGGTGACAGCCCTAATTATAATTTGTAAGCCTAGAGCCAACCACAGTTCCCTAATTAAAACATACGTATTTTTCTTTGTCTTTCATACTATACTAAATCAGACCATTTTATGCTAGATAAAGAGTATTTAATTTAGTGTTCAACACTCTTGCTATCCTTATACTTTTGAATCTATTCTCATTCTCTTTAATCTGTCAGATTTCTCCCAACTCTCTACTCAATACATTCTCTAAAATTAATGCATTTGGCCAGATGGTTAGAAATATCACCCCCAAATCAACTGCAGTCAGAATCAATTCCTGTTTAATTAAGTCTGTATTTGCTCATTTCCCCTCTGACAACTCAGCCTAGTTCCCGTTTTTTTAGTCTATTGGCCAGCGTACCCCATCCCACTATGTTCCAGCCTCTACACTTTCAGAGAATCTCATCCAACCAATTTACATAGGGTTCACCTAACACTCTATGCTGCCAGACATTCTCACTCCCAGGTAAATCAGACCAGTTTAATCTGGATAGAAAACTACTAAGTTTCTCCCCCCCCCCCCC